ACTGGATGCTGTAGAAGCTAGTGGACTTTCAGTTTGAACCTTAGAAGAAGAATCTAAAAGGGGCGAGTCTTCGAAGGTTTTATACCGAAGAGGAAGAAGACTCTTTCTTTTTTTCAAATGGTTGATTGAGCTTTTTTTTTTTTTTTTACTGCTTAAATTATAAAACGCTGTGTTTCTTATAAATAAAGGCTTAATGGAGAGGATTTGCAATGGAGAGGCTCTGCGCCGCTACAATAAATTATATCCGCTAAAATCTCAAACCATAGCTGTTAAAGCAAATAAAATATGTTTATCATTCATTATATCTTCACAAATTTGATTTCTTTTATTACAAGTGATCAAGAACTCGAGGACAGTCTTTCACTTTAAAACATAGGAATTGAATTACTACCTCTTGTTCCTAATATAAGAGCTAGTTCAAAGTAAAGCTTGGTCCTAAATATATAAGACTTCAATATATTTTTTCTTCATATTTATCATTTTTTTCTTCCAAAACTATCCTTATTGATTACACATGCCAAGAAAGTCTACATCAACAGATAGTTTCTATGCAAATTATTTAGGAGGATATTTTAGGAAACTACTTTAGCTAGTTTTTTCAATTCAATTAAATTAGTTAATTAGATTTTATATTGAGGATCGGAGGTAGTACTTAACTTTTGAATGATGAGATAAGCTGTCTATAAATTCTTCAATGTTGTTCCAAGTACTTCCACCCTTGTTAACAGCTTTTGCAGCCAAATTCTTCCATTTCATGACATTATTCACTTCACATGCTCCTCCTCGTCCTTCTTTTTCTTCACCTTTCATGATTTCCCAAATACTTTTCTTCAATGCTTCTCTTCTCACAATCCCTTTCTCATCAAACTGAGCTTTCACTCCGATCTTCCAGACATCCTTCATCATCTTTGCATTGGTTGTTTGATCACTCCAAAGTGGCATAAGCACCATTGGCACTCCTGAACTCAAAGCTTCCAACGATGAATTCCAACCACAATGTGTCACAAAGCATCCTATAGCCCCATGTGATAGGACTTTGAGTTGGTGACACCATGAAACCACCAAACTTTTCTGGGATTTTCTGGGAAAATTCTTAGGAAGCTTAGCTTCTTCAGATTTTCTCACTACCCACAAAAATGCGATCCCACTATCTGTTAAACCCCATGCAATTTCTTCCATTTGTTCTTCAGTGAGAGCTACCTTTGTTCCAAATGATACATAAACAACTGATTGTTTTGGTTGATTGTCTAACCATTTTGTGCATTCTTCACTCTTAAACTTGGCAAATCCATGATCTTCTTCATCTCCAAGTACTTTTATGTTATTGTTCAAGAATTCGTGGGGTATGGTTGGTCCAATGGTTCTTAATTTTGGCCAAAACTTTTTCATACAATCGGCAACCTAAAACCAATTTTTTTTCAGAATATTCAGCATTGATATCGAGAAAAAGGAGGTAATATATATAACCATAACAAAAATTCAAAGGTCTTCGAAATTTGCTCTTGTATCATTTTGACGACATTTTGATTAAACTTAATCTTGTAACTTACTTTTCAGTTCAGGGAAGAATCATTTGACATCTCCAAAGGCAAATAATCAATTATACATATGTGTGTCTATACACACACACACACACAGAGCTATTTGACTAGTTATACCTCAATTTCAAGCTCGTAGAAGGAATTGCAGAGAATCCAATCAGCTTGCTCACTGTTGGAGAACTGACCCACCAACAAACCCAACACTGGATCTCCCGGTTCACGTTCATACAAGAAAGTAGGCAAATCCCGAGGCTCAAGAGAAGGCAATCCAGGAAGAGAAATTTTTTGATCCTTTACAAGTGGATGTTTCAGCTTTCCCTTGTTCACAAAGTAGTATATACTATCCACAGCAATATTCTCAGTCAGAAAACTCACCCCAAGTAATCCTAATTTCCTCGAAACTTCAAGAGCCCAAGGCAAGAATGAATCATAAAGGATACAGTCAACAGGCTTTCCTGTTCTATTAAGCTTCTCAATGAGCTCAATAAGAGTCTGTGTCCCTACTTCTCGTAACCGATTGTAATAGTTGACGTTCTGCCTCTCTGCTTCGTCGATCCCACCGTCGTCAAAGCCGTCGGAGATGGTCTCGAGGGCAATATTGTAACCGGGAAGCTTGTGAAAGTTGGTGCAGTAGGAGACAGTACAGACGAGGGTTACATTAATTCCTTCATGTCGAAGACGCTTGGAGAACTCAAGCAAAGGGTTTATGTGACCTTGATCTGGATATGCCAACGCCACACAGTGACCTCTTCTTGCTTTTGTTTCGCCCTCCATTTTTGGGTGTGATATGGTGGTGGGGGTGATAGATTTGTGCGTGTGTGGTGGGTGTGTTTTTTGTTTTTTATAGACACACGTATGTAGGAGGAGGAGTTCGGTATGTACTACTTCCGATCTTTAATATAAGACTTAGTTGGCTAATTTAAGTTGATTAAAAAAATTAATTAAGTTAGTTATTTGTATAAATAGGTGTTATCTTCCCTAAAATAGCCTCGCTAATCAATTGTCATTTGATGAAATATATTATGTGCAACTATTATAAGGGTTACCTTGAAAAAAAATGAATAAATATGAGAAATAAAGTGAATTAGGGTATTATATTTAGGACCAAATTGAAAGTCAAAATAGCTCTTATATTAAGGGACAGGTAGTATAAACCAGCATTTTGGGCATGTTTTGGGAAATCTACGACATAGATTTCATCTAACCTTTTTACAAATTCCATACTTAAAAGATTGAAGTAAAAGGACAAGTTTCAGGGAATCAACAGCATCAGAAGCAAAATTTAGTAAATTTTAAGCGAGTCGCATCCTTCCATATTAGCGATTTACAACATCTTTTAATGAATTCCACATTCAGAAATATGAAAGTAAAAAGGTATGTTTGGAGGAATTTATGACACTAGAGGCGAAATGCTCATATGCAACCTGAGATTATATATCATTTTATAAGTTAGAAAAAATTAGTTTAAAAAGAATGATAAATATGAGAGATGAAATAGTTTGATATTTTATCTTTAGGATTAAAATTAATTCCCCAACTGCTCCTATATTAAAGAACGAAGGAGAATATGCTTATCAAAATCAAGTTGAAATTCTATATATAATGTGGCCAGTGCAACGAAAACATTTAGTTTTTTAGTATTATTTCAACTCGTTAGATCTTATTTAGACATGATAACTCTCTTGCCTCGGATCTGATGAGGGCTCCTCGTTATCCTCGTCGACTGCATCTTCCATCTACTCTAGAAGAAAACAAAGCAATCTTGTTTATTTTAATAAAATGATGCTTCTTTCTAAAGGTCTGAACACGTTAAATAAAGTTCTGTTTTAAGTCATCGCATATTTTATTCATTGGTCAAGTAAAATCAAATAAAATATATATATAAGTAGCTTCTTTTTCTTCTTCTTTTTCGTACTCAAATCATTTAATGTGCAGGTTGTCAGGAATTAAAATAATAATAATGATATCTCACTGAGCCGTTGAGGATGGGATTCAATCCCTTCAATAATCTCTAATCTCTAAAGAATTGACCAAAAAAAATCTCATATAAAGAAGTAAAGAACTATTAAAACTGGGGGTGACAGGAAAATGAGAACTTTAAATTACTAAAAAAGTTTGCACCGTGCCGTGTAGCGTGCAAATTGGCCAGCATATGAAGAAGAGTATAAGTTTTACCAAATGATATATTATTTATAAGAGAAAAACACTTTGAAAACCAATATATTAATCACAGTTTTAAGAACATAATATTTCAAAATTTCAATAAGGTTGTTCCTAATGATACATAAACAACTGATTGTTTTGGATGATTATCTAACCATTTGCTGCATTCTTCGCTTTTAAACTTGGCAGATCCATGATCTTCTTCATCTTCAAGTGCTTTAATGTTATTGTTCAAGAACTCGTAGGGCAAGGTTGGTCCAGTTATCCTTAAGTCTGGCCAAATCTTTCTCATACAATCTGCAACCTGAAACCAACTTTTTTGGATTAGTAATAGTTAGTTAAGTTCCACTCCCGTGAAAGATGAATTAATCATATGGGCCTCTTTCTATTAAAAAAAAAAAAAGGAATGATAACTTCAACTTAGAACCAACAACCTACAATTAAAGTATTAGGACCATAAATTAAATTTTGGTCAAAGATGCTTTCAGCAAGCACTCCTCTGGTCCTATCTATAGGGTGGAGAAAAAAAAAAGGATTTTTTATCTAATTTTTAGGATAAAAAGAGAAATTTTTCATATTAATATACAATTTTATCTTTTATTTATTGTTGTGTTGACTTTGTTTTTTTCTGGAGTATAATGTATATTAAATAAAAATAAAATTGATAAGTTATTGAATTTTAAAGAAGAGTTAATAAAGTTTAAGATTTTTTTTTTAGTTTGTATGAAACATGTTGAAAATTATTTATAAATAAGACTAGAGGAGTATGAGGGCAAGATGCTAGCATAAATGAAATTGCCCTTATAATAAGGAATTTGATTAAATCAAACCACTACATACAATTAAATCTATTATCACTTTTTCAAATCAACAACAATGATATTTTTAATCAAATTTTCACTAAAACCATACAGATCATTTTTTACTTTTAATACATACAAAAATACATCTTAAATAAAAAAGAAAGTTCTCCATCGTTAATTCTTTATTTTATTGAAGGTCGTGAAATTAGAAAGTAGACGTGTGTGTTGTTAACAAAATTCAGAAAAATCGGCATTGATATTGAAAACAAATGTGATATTTATATAAGGAAAAATGGAAAAAAAAGACCATCAAAATAAAGAAATTGCATACAAAGACCTATTTATAAAAATTATTGTCAAAACTCATACTATTATTATAAAAACCAATACTAATATTGTCGTGGGTCCCTATTTATAATTTTTCTATCTCGGCAGTCTTTTTTTTTATCATTTTCCCTTTATATAATTCTAATAAAACTTTAAAGTTCTTTATAACTTTCTCTAGTATCATAATAAATCTTTAAAAAAAAAACTTGACATAAATATTGTAATTTTCCAAATATTATTGCTCCTATTGTCTTTTGCTCTTTGCCATCACCCTCATCCTTTTACTGATAGCCACGTGGTGCCTGTGACCACCCATCACTGTCCTTTGCCATCATCGTCCACCACACCGTATATTGTCCTCATCTTTCTGACCATTGCCTGTTGCTCCCATTCAGGCTGTTTTAATTTTTAGGGTATGTCTGAATGGAGAGAATACTTGAAAGAAAAACTTTTATAGTTAATTGTTGAACTAATTTTCCCTCCTCCTAGTATTTTCTCTCTCTCTAATTTTCTCCCATTCAAACATAGTGTGAATCTTATTTTTGTTGAACTAAGAGTAAAAAATAACCCCATCTAGTGGGATAAGACTTGTTGTTGTGGAAGAGTAAAGAATAAAGTGTTTTATCCTGTCTCTATATCAACACAAAATTAGAAGTGTCCTACTCTCATTTAATTTAATTCCCTTCCTTCTCCATTATTGTCCCTTAACAGTAGCTTTCATTGCATTGTGCCGTAATTTGTTACGGGCCATAGTCCCTCCTACTATGTGAACGACCATCCACCACCATTAAATAATCCTTCTGTCATCAACCACCACCGTCCCTACCTTTCCACCACCAATATTTAGAGCATTTTACTCTTTTTTTATTTAATTTATACATAAAATATAAATTGTAATCAAATAAGCTACTGGTTTCTAAACAAAGAAAACTCGCAATCTTCACATTCCATTAAGTACACATGTACATCATTCAAACAAGCGGAAAATGTTTCGCGGTTAATCTCCCGACATTCACCATATTTCATTCTCTTCATTTTGATTCCTTTCACTTTATAAGCTCCACCACAATGAAACTATATATACCAAAGATGAAGAAGTAGATAGGACAACAATATTTCTAGTATATACATAGTACAATCAACTAATTCGTATTAAAGCATTGATAGTTTTCCCAAGCTAGTATACATGTTTTTCCTCATCCATTACATAGTGCAATATTTCTAGTATATACATAGTGCAATATTTCTAGTATATACATAGTACAATCAATTAACTCATATTAAAGCATTGATAGTTTTCCCAAGCTAGTATACATGTTTTTCCTCATCCATTACAAATTTCAAACCTTAAATCTTATTTAAGGATCATCAAACTCCTTTCACTTAACCTAATAACTACTATAAGTGATCTTTTAATGTAACCCTCTCTTTTAATACTCTCGAGTAACTTCATAATTAATCAAGATCTGTGTAAGATCCATACCCTTGAAATTCTCAGGGCTCGTTAACCTTTAAATGGGACATGCTATCCATAAATTCTTCAATGTTTTTACAAGAGCTTCCACCCCTGCCAACTGCCATTGCAGCTAAATTCTTCCATTTGATGCAATTACTCTTCACTTCACTTCCTCTCTCACCTTTCATGATTTCCCAAATGCTTTTCTTCAATGCTTCTCTTCTCACAATCCCTTTCTCATCAAACTGAACTCTCACTCCTATCTTCCAAACATCCTTAATATTCTTTGCATTGGTTCTTTGATCACTCCATAATGGCATAGCAACCACTGGGACTCCTAAGCTCAAAGCTTCCAACGTTGAATTCCAACCACAATGCATCACAAAGCATCCTATAGCCTCATGTGATAGGACTTTGAGTTGGTGGCACCATGTGACCACCAAACTCTTCTGTGATTTTCTGGGAAGGTTTACAGGAAGCTTAGCTTCTTCAGATTCTCTCACCACCCACAAAAAGGTGATTCCACTATCTATCAGACCCATAGCTAGTTCTTCCATTTGTTCCTGGCTGATAGATACCATAGTCCCCAGTGACACGAAAACAACTGATTGTTTTGGCTGATTATCTAACCATTTTGTGCATTCTTCACTCTTGAATATGGCAAATCCGTAATCTTCTTCATCATCTTCAAGTGTATTATTATTGTTCAAGAACTTATAGGGTATGGTTGGTCCAACTGTTCTCAAGTTTAGCCAAATCTTTCTCATCCAATCTGCCACCTAAAATTGAATTACATGGGCCTCTTATCAGTATATGTCATTATATCAATATATAATATACAATTTATAGCAAGTTGCACGATTCATATGCTTCAAAGCGTATGACTTATTTGTCAAATTCTACTCAATACATATGAAAGAAAAAGTGTCTATAGATTATGAGGAAAAAAAATTATATGACCTGGCTTTAAAACCGAAGAGCCACTAATTTGCAACGAAATCTATTAGAGGACCCTGAATAAGGTT